AATTCTATAATTTAGGAGTGGCCCACTGCAAAAGCGAAGTCATGTTGGAAACACTGTGCACTGACAGAGTTAAATGACTTCAAGTTGACTATAGAGAATTGACACTTTTTTCATAACAAGCTGTCTGTCTGAGCGCTAGGTTAGTGTCTGCACAGAGGTTCTACCATGGTAACATTGTGCTTGCATCAGCTTGTTTTAATGGCACTTATAAAAGAGCAAAAAAATCAACTACATCTTGCAGTGCCAACTGGTCTGGCAAGCAGCTGTTTTACTTTATTATGAAAAAATATATACTTTCGTCTTGGCGTAGAAATCAAGCCTATCACATCCCTAACAACATTTCTGCCTCTCTTTTTCTCTCTGACTATAATCTGACTCTCAGACTATTCTCAATGAACACATATGGTACTAGTATTTAGAGGCACTTAGACACAACGGCTGTATATGGTCTTGATTCTTCATTGTATTACAATGGCCTCTAGCAACTACAGGCCTCGTCTTTGATGTTGAAGACTTCCTCTATTCCTGCCTTATCTATAAGTGAAGGTTTGAAAGGCTTGCAGGCCGTGTTATTGTGTGTATGAACAGATGAAAGGGTCAGAGTACCGAGGTCTTTTGTGGGGGGCTTTTTTGTACTGCTGATTTGATATTATAAAGCTCCTGTCTCAGCTCCGTCTTAAATATTCTTCTGCTTTTACAATATGCTGTCAGATTGCAATTAAGAATGCCACGTCTGTGATACACCAAAAGATTTCACAAGTTTACTGCATATATTGCGTAGTATTGGCTGTTTTAATATTTTCTTAAAAAATGTTTAAACATTCTATATTATTATTAATGTTTCATTTAATATTTAAGTATTATTTAAATAATATTGAAATAATTATTTATTATTATTATTATTATTAATATTTAAAATATACATTAATTTTTTTCTATAAAATTAAATATTTTATATAGGACATTGCACTATAACATGGATTAAATGTGCACTGACAAAATAAATACACTTATTTTGACTTCAAGTTGACTTGAAAAAAAATTTGTTTATAAAATATGGTTATTTCTAATCCAGTTTTGTGTAAAAATGTCCTAACTTTGGCAGTTTGTTCAAAATGAGTCATGTTCAAAATTGTGGTTTAAAAATTGTCGATGATGTCACTTCCAGTTCATTCATCACACTGGAAATGGAAGTTCAAGTGCATTGCATTGTGGGATTCAGTATTCAATGCAGTGCGCTATGGTTGCATACTGAAATTGCATACTAATATACATACTGTTGTTACTATTGTTGCAGTATATATGTACACTATTACTACTATAGTTAATATTTTTATTTTAATTTTTTATATTTTCCATTTCCATTTTAAATTTTAGTAATGTTTTGTTGTTGTTTATTATTATTTTAAGTATGTCTATATAGTTCCTATTAAGTTTTACTTTATTTATTGTAGTACTTACAGTTTAATTTAAATAACTTGAGAATTGATGCCTTGGCAGCTAGTGTAAATAAAATAAGTTTTAATTTTAGTTTTAGTTAACTGTAATAACCATGTGCTGTGCATAATATGCCAATTTTCTTTATGCATGCCAGAGAATAACTGTATGAATACCTACTACATTTACCATAATGCAAGGCACTGAACTCGACCTTCCCTTTCTAGCCACAATTGTTAACATAACAACATGCAACATGATGAGGTCATGTGACCAGCATAGTGACATCACATGAGAACAATGTAGCTGTGAAATTTTGTACTTTCTTTCACCAAATATAGTAGGTAATATGACAGTATAGATACAATTCAAATGTCAACGTCTTGAAGCAACTACAGGATCTTTGCAGGTGTTTGGACACATTCTGAACACTAACTGCAATTAAAACGAGTCTCAAAGCATGGCATCAATTAAGCAGCGACAAGGGAGAAATAAATGAACCCAGAAATAAATGAGTCCTGGTCAAACATCACCTGCGCTCTGAGCACGTGCACATGTCCATGTGTTCACTGACACTGATCGTTATGGGACTAATTACACGTGCCCTCTTAATAATTTCACTTTTTTTCACCCTGATTTTATCGAAGAACGGCTCATTTACAATTCTGCCTCATTAAACCTCAAATTGGTGTTAATGAGCAGGTAATTAAGGAAGAGGCCCGTCACGCATGTTCAGACAATGCCTACAGTGTGCTGTCAGCCAAACACCTGATGGAACATCTCTGTGTGTTTATATTTTGAGAATCATAGAAATAACTGTAACATGTTTTTGTACATAAAATGATTAGTTTTTCAGTCAAAATATCCTCATTAGGTCCAGTACGGGTGGCTGTAATGTTCATTTGGGTCGTGTTTTTCTTCGTCCACCACACAGGCCTCATTCTGAGGGTGATATCCAGTACAGGAAGTGTATTAATGTGTTTGTGTATTTAATAGATCTTGATGGGTGCCATATGAACTGTGAATCAATAGGGCCAGGAAAGCGCTAGACAACGAGAGCGTTGAGTATTTGACTGTGACAGACGTCTCTCAGTGAGTTTCTTCATGATTGGCTCACACGTGAGGCGTTCTGGTAGCCAGAAGTGCTCAGTAAGTCCAAACAGCTGTTTTTTGTCGCAGTTGTATCATAAAGGCCCGTTCACACCAAGAACGATAACTATAAAGATAACTATATTAGCGTCCAGCGGACGATATCGTCTGTTTATTCTAAGCGCACGCTCGTCTGCCGCTTTAAATTGTCGAGCGATTCTGATTGGGTGTCAATGTTTTTAGCATTCATCAGCTGGAAAAAATCGTGAATTCCAACGATATCATTTCTGTCAGGCCCACTATCGTCAAAGATGATTGACAATTAGCATACAGTTTGGATTGGCGGTATGGTTCTGTTCTGGGCAAGAACTCCCTGCGCCTCCATGCAGCCTAGCATGAATGAGAGCAGGGAGAGCAGCAATAACCCCCCAGGGTAAACAGAACAGAACTAACATAAATGTATTGCAGATATTGTTAAGTTCAATCATTTTATGTACACATTTTAGAATTAGTCTGATTCAAGGAGAATCAGAAGGCTGAATCCCGACTGACAGAGGAGGAGTTGGGGATGGAGGAGGGTAATTAGCTATTGAGCAATGCGAAAACTGCTGATAATACTGAGGGACCTTATATATGAATGCTTAGATAGGTGTCGTATTCCCATAGGTAGATGGGGATCAGCTGAAGGTCAGCTGATGCGCGCTTGACTAACGTGACCTGCCAGAACTAACGCTACGCTTGATTTCTCTGTGTCTTTATCGTTATAGCTGTGGTGTGGACTCTGCTATTCTTAAATATTGAGAACGATTTTTACAACTACATCTTTATCATTATTTTTATAGTTATATAGTCCTTGGTGTGAACAGGCCTTAACAGTGCAAGCATGCTCTCGTAGCATTTTAATTGAATTATGGAGAGAGTTTTTTGTTATTTTAAACGTTATTGCAAGAAAGTCTTGGTTATGTCGTAGCTACTTGTTGCTAAATGGCTGCTATTCTGTAAGCTGACAAACATCTGAATGAAGTTAACAATACTGTATAACACATACACAAAGAACTGTACAGTTTTTAAGATGCTAGGTGGATGTTTCAACCTCTTTTTTAAATTAATTTACTAGACACCTTTGTCTTTGATTTCTTCCCTTTTTACATAAAATAACTCCACTAATAAAAATAAAACTATTTATATAGATAACTGTTTAAAAGTTTGGGGCAGGTAAGATTTTTGTATTTTTAAAAGAAGAAGTTTGTTATTTTCCAAGGCTGCATCTATTTGATCAAAAATACAATAAAAACAGTAATACTGTGAAATATTACAAATTTAAAATAACTGTTATTTTCATTTAAAAATATAATTTATTCCTGTGATGGCAAAGCTAAATATTCAGTAGCAATTACTCATTAAACAGATGTTCTTATTATCAGTGTTTTCAAGATTAGAAATTATGCTTAGAAAGTTATTCCAAAAAAATCGTACTCACCCTAAAATGTTAAACGGTAGTATATATATTCATATATTTTTATATTTTATTTTATCCACAATAAAATATATAGGTAAATGGTCATTTGGTGAT